ATGACTAAACAGTTCATCTCTCACCTAAGGGATGACAGCACATTATCTTTAATCAAAAGGGCCCCCTTGCCAGTCTTTGAACTTTCTCCAGCAAGAACAAGGGGTGACTGGAGAAAGGGACTACAGGGTGAGGAGTCTGGTTGTTCCAAAGTTGGGCTAGTAACCCAGGGGTCAGGGATGGGAAGAGATGAATACTCTTTGGTAGGCTGGGGATGGGGACAGGGTGAGAATGGGGGAGGCTCATCTCCAGAGAGCTCTGGGGCAATTCCACTAGGCTCTCCTTCATGGAGGCCTGGGCTAGGACAAGATGGGGGAGTATAAGGACCCAGGCCAGGCCTGACCCACTTGGGCTCAAGTCCCTCCTCCCCATGGAGATCAAAAATGAAAGGTCTTTGGCCCCAAGGCCAAGATCTCCAGGGAAAGAGTGGCCCTTGGGAGTATGTGCACCTTCTGTAAGATATGGCCCTTCAGACAGCGGCAGTCCGACCATGTGCCCTCAGCTTTCTGTTTTTCACTGGACAACTTAGCTCCTTATGCAACTCTCTCTGATTTGGGGGGCAGTTCTTGAGCCCACCTCAACATTAATCACCCACCTCCCCAAAGCCAGGTGGCAGTAGCCCATTTGTCCATCTCTCCAGGCCCTCTATCCACATCTCTCCTCTTCTCCTTCCTTATCTCCTTCAACACTCGTTCTATGCCCCTCATTGCCTAGGGTGGTGGGGCACAGCTTAACTGGGACCGCAACCACACTGCAACTGTGCGCACCTCATCTCCCAGCCTGACACTTTGCCCGTGATGGCCCCACGTAGGACAAGGTGCGCTGAAGTAGCAGGAGGGCAACTGCACTGTCTGCCGTCACCTGTAGGGATATGGGCAGGAGGGAATTAAGGATCTTGGCAACAAAAGGAATGCGGGGGGGGGGACAACTTCTCCCCTCTGTGCCCCCAACATTCCCTGCAGGGCTGAGGCTGCACTAGCAGCCTCTTTCCCTGGGGTCAGGGCTTTCAGCAGGGGTGGGCAATTCTAGCCCCCACTCCTCCCACTTTTTTGCTAAGCCCCATAGGTGGGGCTTGGGAGGGGGCACCTGCTGCTCCTACTTTTTTCTCCTGGATGAGTTTTGCAGCTCACTGGGGCCCTCTGGCCATTCTGTTAGAGCTGCTTTTGGGGTGGGGGTAGGTTGGGGGGCGATTTTGGCCCCCTATTTCCCTCCACCCCCCACCTCGTCCTGCACCTCCCATGGGAGGAGCTCCCTCCCCCCCAACTGGGGGGGCTGGAGCTGATGTCAGTGTGTGGTGGAGGTCTGTCCTCCCTTGCTGCTGTCACTCTTCCCGTGTCAGGCCCTCCTCTAGGGCAGGCAGTGTCTCCAGCCCCAGGCCCCCACCACCCTGGTTGCTGGAGAAGGACACCATGGTATGGAGGAGCATGAGGACAAGGACACAGAGCCGGATCCTGCTGGGGCTGAGGCGGGAGCCCCCAGAGACCGGCAGTAGGGAGGGCTTGTGGCTAACAAGGCCTGGGGGGTCATGGCGGGGGTGGTAGTGGTGGTACTGTTGGTGGTAGTGGTGGAAATAGGAGTGGTGGAATTGCTGGTGGTGGGTTTTGGGGGCCTCAGACTCCTTGAACTTCTTCTTCTCCGACTCACAAGAGACCCACTGCACGTCACAGCACTTGGTTTCCGGCCGCTTTGGTGAAGTATCCAGCAACCCTGCCAATGGATAAGGAAGGTGGGGTGGGGTGCTCAGGGAATTGGTGATTCTGTCTTACCTGGAGAGGAGATTTTTCAAAGCTGGGGGTTGCTCAGGTAACCCTATGCCAAACTTCTTTCTCCTTGGCCCTCAGCACCTTCCCTTCCTGAGCCCTTATCTCTTGGGGATCCAGCCAGTTTCTCCAGGATAACTTCCTGCATGGGCATATTCTGAGTAGACATGGCTACTTTGGTCTTTTTTCCTATTTCATTTGGGCCCAATCTGGGGACCTTGCTGCCCACTCCTCCAGCCACTGACCTCATTCTAACCTGACAGTCTCGTTGTCCTCTATGCTTCTATTCCCCTGACCTGGTGTCTACCCTGGGCCCACACCTCCTCCCTCTTTCCCAGTGCCCAGCCTTTACCTGTGCAGATAAAGCCAGGGAGCCCGCCATACACCATTTCCTCATTGTCGGGGAGGATAAAGGGGCACCGGGTCTGTACCTCCAGGCAGTATTGCTTGCAGGGAACCCAGCGCTGGCATTCCTGCTGGGTCACGCTGAAGTATTCTGAGCACAGCCAGGCTTTGTAGACAGCCTGTGGGGGAGAGGAAAGAGCATCAGCCCAAGTGACAGCTCCTTCTCACCTCAGAGGAGAGGGATGAGCAGGTATACCTGTGGTCTCTCAACTGAGCTTTGCTAATCTAACCCCAGGATCTAAGGGGTGGAGAAGAAAGGTTTGGGCCAAAGGTTCTATACTCTACCTTAAGATCTCCTATCTTGTAGCCAGGGTTTCTGAATTCATCCAAGGATTTGTTTGTTGGCAAAAATCACAAAATTACTCCTATGTCAGGGTAGAAGGAGCTTTACCAATCATCTCATCCAAGCCCATCATTTTACACTAAGTTCAAAGAGGTGTTCGTGGTTACTTCTATATAATGAGGCAAATTTCAGTTCTATTCAATTTGGCTAACATTTTCTTGGCTGATAGTACTGAGTTTCTAAATTCAAGAAAGAGATGGAGAGAATTATCCTTGCTCTACCTCATTAGAGTATTGTGTGGATCAAATAATATGGCATATATGAAAATGTTCTATAAACTCTAAAGGGCAATACAAATGTGAGGGCTTATTTTGAATAAAAACAAGAATCTTCCTTACCAGGTACCACATGTGCCTTTGAGTTCTACTTAATCCATGGTCTGTCCTGCTGGCTTCAGCCCTGATGTGGAGCAAACATAATGGACAGTGCTCCATTGCTTTTGAAATCTTTGCTTTGCTCCTTCACAGGTATGCTTTATGTCCCTCATCTAGCCCACCCCTACCAGACACTTGGTTCTAGCTAGAAGGGTTCCCTGGTTTACCTTCTGTCTCCCTCAAGCCCAGAATTTCTCAACAGCAATGCTACTGACATTTTGGGTTAGATAATTCTTTATTGTTTGGGTTATGCTATACATTGTAGGATATCTGGCCTCTACCCACTAGATGCCAGTAGTATTTGCCCCTCTCTCTTATTGTGACAACCAAACAAATGTCTCCAGCCATTGTCCAATGTCTCCTGGGGAGTTCACAGTCACAACTTTGTGCAGGTCACCATCACCTAGATAACAGTAATGATCATATCCTATCTGGCCTCCCTACCTCCACTCGTGCTCTTTCTAGTCCATTGTCCACACAGGAGTAAGCATGGTCTCAAACTGCCATCAGATTGTGTTTCAACCTTGCTTTAAACCCTTCAATGTATTTAGACTAAAACTCAAACATCTGAGCAAACTTCAAACCCCTGGACAGTTTTGCCTGTTTCTCTCCAATCTCATTTTCTACCTTCCCTTCTCATTATGCTCCACAGAGGTTTTCTTTCTTTTTCTTGAACGTGCCCTACTTCTTCCTACCCTGCAGCCTTGGCACATGCTATTCTTTTGACCTGTAATGTTCTTCTTCCCACTTTTAGCATAGATGGATCCTTCTCATCTTTCAGGTCTCAGTTTAGATGTAATTTGCTCAGAGAGGGTCTCACTGGCCACTCTACCAGAGGATGCCACTCTCACTATTCTTTTATTAATTGTTTCTTCACTGCAAGTATTACTTTGTCTTCATCCTTGTTTTGCCTCTGTCGACTCCATTAAAATGTGACTTGTTTATAGGCAGACATGGGTTTGCCTACTAACCACTGTGTACTCAGCATAGCATACATTAAAAAAATCTGTTTATTGACTGACCATGGTGAGTGAATGAGGAAAGACCTCCCATCTTCATGGAAATTCAAGTTTTATGGGTAGATACATCTAACTTGAACTGTGGCATATACTCTATACTATAGGAGAGGTCAAACCATGGATTATTGGATGGAAGCAAGTAGAGAAGCTGGGAAAGATTATAGTGAGGGGATTATAGTTGAGCTTGAACTCCAAGTAGGATTTTATAACTAGGATGGGTAGAGATGAGGCTTAAGCAAACACAAGGAGGTGAACGAAGCATGGTTTGGTAAGAGAATAGAGAATGGCTGTGTATGAATATGATGGAAAGGGCACCAATCTCCTGTTCATGGACATTTAAGTGCCTTCTGAGTTGTCACTATGATAAATAATGTTCAAGTGGGTATCTCTGCATCTCTTGCACACTTGTCTTCAACTTTACATAAATTCCTAAAGATGAAATTATTAGGTTAAAATGTATCTGCAAAGGAATGAGAAAGGAGTAAAGCAGGGTGGAACAGAACAAGCAAAGGTAAAAGGCAGGGTAAGAGAGAGCTGGTAGGGGAGTAAAGGAGTGCAATAAGAGAGAGGCTTAAGGGGTAAGACGGAATGGTAGCAGGGTAAGAGAGTAAAAGAGCAGAGATGTGTAAGGAAGAGAGGGTAATATAGAGTGGGAGTTTAAAAGGTAAGATATGGTGGTAGGAAAAACAGGGCTGAGAAAGCATGGAAATAAGAGATGAAGGGTGTAAGAGAAGTAAATGGGTAAAAGGGGGTGAAGGTGAGAGAAGGGTAAAAAAGTAGGAAGATAAGAGCAAGTGGAGGCATGGTGGGGGTAAGATGGTGTTAAAAGGGGTACTGAGAGGAGGAGATAAGAAAGTGAGTGAGAAAGATAAGGTAAGAGAGATCAAGGGTGAATAAGAAGGAACCAGGGTAGATGAGAACAATGGAAGCTTAAGAAAGAATTGGTAAGAAAGAGGGAAAGGAGATTAGAAGGGGGGAAGGAGAGATAGAAAGAGGCAGGAAAGAAAGTGAAATCATAAGAGTGGGAAGGGCCCCAGAATTGCCAAGATGAATCTGTCTACAGCCTCTGCCCCTATCTCCTGCAGTCTGGACCCAGAGTCCACCTTACTTTCACCTCAAGCTGTGTGGAATCAGCCTCCCCACCCAGTGTCCATGGGTGGGGCTGGGGCTCAGAGGGCCCTGTGAGAGTGTCCCTGGGCTCTTCCAGATCAATGCTCCTGCTCCTTAGATGAGGAAGCCCCAGTGGCATTCCAGCCCTCACAGGCGACTGCCCAGTAACAGACTATATAGAGTCTTGGGACTCCCCTCATCTGCTCCCAGAGGGAGGAGAGATGAGGGAGGGGAGAGAGGTAGCCTGACAGTGGGAGTATGGCCTTTCTCCTTAATTAGCCGACCCCCCTAGTCCCCACACCCCCAGCCAGAGTCACCATGGCAACAAGTGGGTGAGCAGATTGCCTGGGGAGGACACCAGGCCTGTGGGTGGTGAGGCAGGAACAGACAAGGAGCTAATGAGGGGAATGGAGGAAGAAGAGCAGAGCTCAGAGGCAATTCAATTTCTTGGCCTCACAGTGGGCCAGCTGAACCATTGCTGGTTCACATCCTTCAAGGTGGCTTGGGGCCTTCTTAGGTAAATGATCTGGCTCTTAGTGCTACCCCTGGGGCAATAAGCCCACCAGACTCTGTAGCCCTGTTCACAAGACAGTCCTCTAGATCTTGCCCTGTCTCACCAGTCACACAGGGCACTCATCTAAGAGAAAAGGGAAGGACCAGGAACGCCAGGCTTAGGAGGGCTATGGGGCTTGCTGGCAGTAAGACTTGCAGGAAATAGGAGGAAATGTCTTAGAACCAGGTAACAGTCAGCTGGGAAACCTGTGGAAATGTTTGCTCTCCAGTTTTTCAACTCTGGCTGCATATTGGACCCACCCAGAGAGCTTTTAAAATGCTTGGCTCACATCACACCCTGACCAATAAAGTCAAGAGTCCTTGCAGATAGTTTCACAAAACACCTCAGGCAATTTTAGTATGCAGCCTGGGTCAAGAACCATCAGTTTAGTCTTACTTTACCATTTTACAGATGGAAAATCTGAGGCCCAGAAAAGGGGAAGGCCTTGTTCATCTACAGCCACATAAAACAGTGGCAGAGGGAGGAACCTGAAATCTGGTTTCATGACTCCAACTCCAGGAATCTTCCTACTGAACCACCCTACTAGCAACTAAATTCTAAATTTAGGACAGGACACAGGGGCCTGGATAAGGGAGAAGAGCTGAGAGACCAGGCGTGCTCTGGAGTATCAGGCTCTTCAAATTCCAGCCATGGTGGGAAAGGCTTCTCCATCACGCCCTGTTCTCTGGGCTGGACCATCCTAGATCCTTGAGGTAGCAGGGGGAGGGGTGGGTAGAGTAGGGTAGGAAGCTCTGACCTGGCAGTGCTCTCCTTTCTCCACCTCAGTCAGGCCACCACCGCTGGGCTCAATCAAGTTCTGGCTGCTACAGCCTAGTTGCTATGGGAACTGGGAGGGGAAGAAAGGAGGGAGTAATTTGAGGGAACACCAATTAACCCAAAAAGGAAGCTGGGAGGACTGTCCCACCCTCCTCCCAGATGGGCAGTGGAGCCACTCCTGAAATGGGAGGGGCAAGATAAAAGGGATCTCCCCCCACTTGGGCTCTGCAGTTGCCAGTTTAGGAAGGAGTGGGAGGACCTGATTGACCTTACCCTTCAGCACCCTGGCTTGCAGCCCTGGCCAGGGCACTCTAGTCCCTACAATCCTCTAAACAGAAATGCCTGATTTCACTGAGTGCCGTGTGAATGCATACTCTCACACAGGACTCAAGACCCAAGGGATTAGAAAGAGGAGTCTATTCTATCCTGAGCTCCTTGCTTTGGGGACTGAAAATCTTCCAGAGAGGAGGGGGCTTCAGTTTTTGCCAACCAGGAAGTAAGGAGTTTTTTTTTCTTGAATTCTAACTTGCTTCCCTCCCTAGGGTCTGTTTCCCCATCCAAATCCTCCCTATAGACCTTCCCTTCATGGCTGCTTGTCTTCTTAACGTACCTCTGGGACCCTTGGCCAGGAGCTATAGCTGCAGTGCCTGTGGAAGCAAAGCAACAATGGGCTTGGGATGAAATCCACTGTCTGCAAACACTGCTGTACAAAAGTAACCACCCCACCCCTAGATTTTACCCATGAGGAAACTGAGGACCAGAGAAAGGGATTGCCTTGGTCAAGTCACAGACATGCAAGAAATCAACTACAATCCAGGGAGGCACCCTAAACAGCTAACCCCATGCCTCTTTGCACTGCATCCACCAGCGCACCTAGAATTGTGTGAGGGACCCTGTTGGGCATGGTCTTAAAAGAGTCAAGTACTCCTATTCTTGACTCTGA